TGAATACTCCTCAGCAATAAAAGGGAATGAATTACTGATGAATGCAACAACGTGAATGAATCTCAAAACTATGCTGAGTGAAAGGAAGGTAACACAAAACAGTACATACTGTATGATTACATTGTCATAAATTTTAAAAGGCAAAAATAATATATAGTGATTGAAACCAGGCAGTGGTTTTCCAGGACCAGGAGTGCTGGTCACTAATTATACTAGGGAACTTTTTAGGAAAATTAAAATGTCATGTCTTTATTGAGTGATGGTTGCATGGGAATATACATGTGTTAAAAATTACTGAACTGTATAAACCCATATATTGGGTTCATTTTATTGTATGTCAATTATACCTCAATAAAGTAGATTTAAATATTCAAGTACAACACATGAATGGCTAAGGCCAAAAGACAGAAAATTAAATTCCTGAAGCCCAACATAATTTGTAATAAAAGAGATATGAATTAAAGTAATGTGATGGCATTTTTAGCGTCAAATTGGCTCAATTTGTTAGAAACTTAGGAAAGACATAAGGAAAAAGGTGTGCTTATACATTGCTGATAGGAGTATAATTGAAAAAAGCCTTTCATGAGAACATTTCAGCAATATTCTTAACAGAGAGTATCTCTTTAGACTTAATTTAACTTTTAGGAATTTCTTCTCGGAAAACAAAGAGATTGTCTACAATTTCTAAAGACTCTCTGGAAAGGAACACCACACACTCTCTCAGTGATGTGTTCCAATATTTTACAAAGCTTTCTCTCAGGAACTTTATTCTGATGACTAGCTTAAACCAAGAGGCAATGTGGCATCCCGGAAGAACCCTAGGCTTAGGAGTCTAATGATCTGGCTCTGGTCAAAGAGTCTTGGACAAGCCACTACCTTGTGGAAGTTCATCTTCTATGAAAGAAATAGATGAAACCAGACGTTAAATTCAATGAATATTTTTCAGTCCTATTTTACTTAACAATGTGAGAGCTAACTTCTTCCTGAAATACTTATTTTCCTTTCTGTAATAAAAAAAAATCCATTTTTTTCTTTCCTGTATAGGGAAAAACCCAGTTCTTCCCTACTGTGTGTTTCTCTCCTGTGAGTCTCCTCTACTATTCACACAGCACGCTTCACTTCTGACACTTTTGGTCGCCAAATATGTGGGGGCTTTTCCCCACAGCAAGCAAGTCTCTCTGACATCAGCTGGATGTCCTACAATTTAACTCATTTCTTACACTGTCTATCTGGATATAGTGTCAGATCCCACAGGTTAAGGGCTGGATCCCACAAGACTGCCTCCCCCCACCACACACACACACACACTTCAAGCGCCAGTCGCAAGCCCAGGTTACCTCCTGTGCTTCTGATCCATTGGTTATAGATCAGAGGTTCCAAAGAATTCCTCCTTCGGTTCAATTAATTTGCTAGTGTGGCTCACAGAACTCGTGGAAATACTAAACGTTTACCAGTTTATTAAAAGATATGATAAAAAGGATACAGATGAACATCCAGATGGAAGAGTTGTGTAGAGCAAGGTATGTGGGAAGGGGCATAGAGCTTCTGTGCTCTCTCCAGGTGCCACTCTCCCGGCACCTCCATGTGTTCACTAACCTATAAGCTGTCCAAACCACATACTTGTGGAATTTTATGGAGGCTTGATCACATAGGCGTGACTGATCATTAACTCCATTTTCAGCCCTTTTCCCTTCTGATGAGAATGGGGGGGCGGGGCTGAAAATTCCAAGCTTCTAATCATGTCTTGGTCTTCCTGATGACTAGCCCTCATCCAGGAGACTATCCAAGTCACCTCATTAGAACAAAAGACACTCCTGTTACACAGGAAGTTACAAGGGTTTCAGAGCACTGTATCAGGAACCAGGATCCAAGACCAAATATTAAAACAAAGGATACTGCTAGTGCTCTTATCACTTAGGAGAGGTTGAGAGGACATCTACTTTTGGGGAAAGGAAAATGTATTCATCTATGTCCTCAGTGAGTTCAAGGATGACCACGGGACAGCCTCTTGGAAATATCCAGAAAAAGGTTGGTTACATAGGAAAAAAGCTTAATAGGAAATTGAGAACTAAAGACACAAATTTGAGAGCCATTATATGGAGGGACTGTTGAAGCCATAAAACAAATGAGCTAATCCGGAAGTTAATGAAGCAGAAACAGTGCGGAAGATTAAGAACTGAACCCCAGGAAATGTGAAATATGAAGGGACAGAAATAGGAAAAAGCGCCTACAGGGGCGATGCCTCTATTAGACTGTAAGTTTCTTTCTTGCATGAACCATGTTTTTTATATCCATGAACCTCACATATTACATCCTCAAATACATTTATTAAAATCAACTTAACATTAATTATTATACATATTACTCCTGAAAGATGAATTTAATTCTATCTGCTTTCTTAGGAGCTAATCAAAGGTATTTCACATGAAGTCCTCTCAGTTGCCATCTCTTTTCTCTGGCTAAATTTGTGCTTCTTGTTGAAGCTGGGAATCCTATGATATGTAGGGATTGGTTTGGGACCATACTTGTGCATCTTTGATGATCTACCAGAAGTCTGAGAGCTAATGGACATGCATGAGACATATATGCAAAGACATTTTATTAGTATTTAAATATTCACATGCTTCATAATGTTACATTTATATAGTTGAAGTCAGAAATAAGTAGAAGTAGGAGGCCATTTTTCAGAGATTCCAGTTTTGGAAAGGCAATAGTACTGCACAAATGGAAAAAGACAAAATAGCTTTTTTTGTTCTCTACTCTGTACGGGAGCAAGTCATCAGGTAACATGGCTTTAGAGGAGCCCTGCTGAAGATGCATTTGGAAATGAGGTTGTCATGGCAACTGTCTCCGAAGTAACAAAATCCCCCTTGAGCTCTCAGAGAACTCCCAAAATCTTCTTTGCACTTGGATATCAAGGAGAGCTTATTTTAATGAATTGTTTTTCTCTATTTATAATTATTGTGCAGTGGGATTGAGAACAAAGATTGGGATTCATTCGTTACTCTGGGACATGAAAAACTCTAAGTGTAAATCAAAAGATGAGGCACTGTTATTGCTGAGTCTTAGCTGAGGGTGAGCAGGTCCTCATGGATGTATGTGCACATACTCATAAGCATACACAGGCCTGTCTGCAGTAGTTTTAGTTGGACTTGTCTGGAAGAAGATGGACTTATGCCTTCGTGTTTTGATTTTATAACTTTTGTAAGAGGATTTCTGCCATTAACCCAGGACCAAAAACCTATCTAATCCACTGGCACATGAAATTTCCCCAAATCAAGATTTGTTTCCTGGCTAGGAAATCTGTCATCCTTAATATATAAAAGCCCCTGGTAAAGGGTGTAGAATGCAAGTTGCCACACAAAACTTCATTAGTCCCTATATAAATAAATTGCCTTCCAGATAACTATTTTGAAAATGTGTGCAGTTTGCAATAGCCAGGACTTGAGTCTAGAGATAAAATTGTATGTTGTCAGTAATGCACATTAAATATGTTCTGCTTGCTTAAGAAGCCCAGCAAGATCCCTGGCCCCATGAAGTTTGGAGTTGGACAGACCACAGTTTGACTCAAGATACTGGAACCTACAAGATGTATGTGCTTCTCATTGTTAAAGTGGAGATTAACAGGTCTAACCTATAAGGTTTTGTGAGGAATAAACAAGGTAAAATTATCTGTGCATTGCTTTAGATACTTGCTGTCAGTAGGAGGGTGCTGGATAAGAAACAGTGTTTGGCGCACAGTAAATGCTCAACACAGGGTAGTCAGTATTATTTTTCCCGCAGTACTTTGCTCTTAACTGTGCTTAAAAAGATGTAGTGAATAAAAGAATAAGTCATTAAAAGCCACGTCAAGTAGTATCAAGGGTGTAAACAAACATTTCTTCTTCCTTAGGAAAGGTGGTCTCTGGAGCAGTGATCCTGAGGGAGTATTTCTAAGTAGGTCACTGAGATCTTTAATTCTGAATAAAACTCTTTAGTCTCTGGTTATCCATGGGCCTTACGAAAGGATGATGTCTCATTCCCAGAAGCTGGACAGGAGGCTCATGACAAAGCCACAATCAGAGATCATGTTCTTCAGCTCAGCAAGGGAATCAAGATAAACTAGAGGTTTTGATCCTTAAACTAGAGAAGCAGAAGCAGAGGGGTATGAGCTGCAAGTTGTCACTTTCTTTTCACCAGTGCCACTTGAATCTCCATGAAAGAGATGGATGAGAGCCAGCAGAGTACAGCATTGTGATTCCAAGCAGAAGGGTGAGTGCCTGCCTGACTTGGTCTGTCCTGTAGCAGATGATTAAAAGCTCTATCCCTGGGAGCCAGACCACCACAGTTCACCTTCTGCTGCAACTTAGTAGCATTGGGACTTGTGCAAATCACTTAGCCCAGTGTCCTCAACTGTCAAATGGAGATAATCATAATGCCCCTCAGCATTTAGAACAGTGCCTATCATATAGCTAGTGCTCAGTAAATATTTATTTTCTTTTTTCTTAGATTTAATCAATAACTTTACATGATCATCCCAATATTATTATTACATAATAATTCCACAGCCGTTTCAGCTAAAGACTTTGGGCAACATGACCTCACTTTCCTGCCCTGTCTAGTATTGATCCAGTGGTGGAAAGTCTAGGCAGGGTCAAATGGCTCCCATTTCTCAAGAATCATGCTAGAGAAGAGCCCCACATCTAACAAACTTGATCAAGTGCTGTAGAAGGAAAGAAGTACACAGAAGATGGTAACAGTAAAAGTCGAAAGGTCATCCCAGCTGGGCTTTGTGGACTCCATTCTCAGTTGTACCAGCCCTTACTCTGGAGGTAAAATTCACCCACAGATAGTTACTAAGATGATTCAAAGCATTTGGGGACCATGAAAACAGAGACATATAGGAAATGCCATCTTGAACTTCAAAAATCTCTATTAAAATACCATTCTCAAAAATGTTGCCCCCGCCTTTTCTCTGAGCAATTCTTTTCTTTTTCCCTCAGAGATCCTCCTAGAGGAGAATGGCTGCAGACAACACCTCTGTGATAGAGTTTATCCTCACAGGCTTAACAAACCATCCAGAACTCCAGATACCCCTCTTCTTCCTGTTTCTAGGTTTCTACACGGTCACCATAATGGGGAACCTGGGCTTGATAACCCTGATTGGGCTGAATTCTCACCTTCATATTCCCATGTACTTTTTCCTCTTCAACTTGTCCTTCATAGATTTTAGTTTCTCTACTGCCATCATCCCCAAAATGCTAATGAGTTTTGTCTCAAAGAAGAACATCATTTCCTATGCAGGGTGTATGACTCAGCTCTTTTTCTTTTGTTTTTTTGTCTTTTCTGAATCCTTCATCTTGTCAGCGATGGCATATGACCGCTATGTTGCCATCTGTAAACCATTGTTGTACACAGTTACCATGTCTCCTCAAGTGTGTTTACTCCTCTCGTTAGGTGTCTATGGGATGGGAGTTTTCGGGGCTATGGCCCATACAGGAAATATAGTGTTTCTGACCTTTTGTGCTGGCAACATTGTCAATCACTATATGTGTGACATCCTTCCCCTCCTTGAGCTCTCCTGCAGTAGCTCTTACATAAACGTACTAGTAGTCTTTATTGTTGTGACTATTGGCATTGGGATGCCCATCGTTGCCATTTTTATCTCTTACGGTTTCATCCTTGCCAGCATTTTCCACATCAGGTCCACTGAAGGCAGGTCCAAAGCCTTTAATACTTGCAGTTCCCACATAATTGCAGTTTCTCTTTTCTTTGGGTCGGGAGCTTTTATGCACCTCAAACCACCTTCCGTTTTACCCCTTGAGCAGGGGAAAGTGTCTTCCTTGTTCTATACCATTGTTGTGCCTATGTTCAACCCATTAATCTATAGCCTGAGGAATAAGGACGTCAAATTTGCTCTGAAGAAAACCTTGCGCAGAATAACTTTCTCTTGAAAAACTATTAGAAAATGAGAAAAGGAATTCAAGGATTTTTTTATTGGAGTGTATTATTATTGTTATTATTTTCTTCAATGAGGAACCGAAGCTTCAGTGCTGTTTTTCCTGTCCTATATGTACAGGAATTTTAACTGTCTTTCCCAAATGAATTTATTCTCCCTCACCTTCATCCCCCAACTCTTCCTTCTTTATTTTATCAAAAGAGTTGCTACAATTTTAGAGTATTCAATATTGAATGGGGCTTAGGAATTGTTTAATCCAGTGCCTTTATATAATACATTACTCTTTGGAAATTCAGAAATATTTGTATGTTGCCCAAGAACATAAGACTACCCAGGGCCAGAGCTGGGACTAAAACCCCAGCTTGAACCCCAATCCTGTTTGCTTTCCTTTATGCCATGTTTTCTTGCCTCATCTCTTTCTTGGGAGATTTAATTTCTCATGTTGGTGACCTAGCACATTTAAATTATGAATATATTCATAGTAATTTCATGCTACTTTTTACAAGATAATTTTAATATATCACATTTTGCAAGAGAGTAGGAGGTGAAAATTTTATCGAGTTGGTTTTGGCAAAATGACAAGATCAGAGTTTGATGAATTATGTAGTGTGTAAGTAGTGAGTATGTTAGATTTCAGATAGAGGCAAGTATGGTGACCATTTACTTGGTGAGTGGAGCCCTAGGGACATAGTTTAGTGAATTAGAACTCCCAGGGAAGAGAAATATAATTTTAAGGTGTGTAAAGATGTGGAGTGGAGTTGTCATATATTATTTCAAGACTAACAGAGATAGAATTTGGAGTCTTTTTTCAAGGGTTACCTTGGTTGTGGTCTGAAGTAACTGGGAGCTGCACTATCCAATATGGTAGCCACTAGCTATGTTGAGTACTTCAAATGTGATCATCCAAACTGAGACATACTGTAAGTGTGCAATATAAGTGCAAAATACACACTGGATCTTTGAAGAATTAATATATAAAATAATGTAAGATATCTCATTGATAACTTTTTGTATTTAGTACATGTTGAAATAATATTTTGGAAACAATATGTTAAATAAAATATGTATATCATTAAATGAATTTATCTGTTTAGTTTTTTAATGTATCTACTAGAAAGTTTAGAATTATATATGTGGCTTGCATTATATTTCTATTTGATGACACTGGTCTGGAGGATGTAACAGAACACTAGATAGTTATGGGTACACATTTAGCTATCAGGGTAGCATTAAGCTGTTGCTTATTAGGAGAGTTGCAATTGCTACTGAATTTTCATGCATTGCAGATAGTCATTACATTCTAATGGGCAAAATGGGGAAGGGATGACAATCCAGGATGAGTTCATAAATCCACAGTACTATGTAATGTGAAATATAACTTTATATAAAAAACTCAAAGGAACAATTTTTTGATCTAAACTTACCATTAATGGTAAAAATTTCTTTGAGAAACAATGATAAGTGATGTTCTGGGGAAATATCTTTACCTATAAACTTTTCCTTAGGAAAGTTCTCTTCTATTGGGAAATAAGGGAAGTTTGGATAAATGTTAAGTTTTGCCCTTTGATTTTGTTCAATGTTGCTTCAGTGAAAAAAATACGCATATGGGGGATGACTGCACTTTAGATGAGACTGAATAGATCCTTGAATTCAGGGGACCTAGAATTTAGGAGTGAGGTTGGTGTATGTATTGGGTATGCAGTAAAATGTAGGCAATAGAAGAAAACGTAAACCTTCTTTTAAAACTCTGCAGTCCAGTTTTCATATAGCAAAGAGCACAAATCTTAAGTGTATAGCTCATTGAACTTTTGCATATGTATATGCAACCTAGATCAAGATGTAAACATTTCCATCCACTTTAGAAGGTTTCCTCTCCAGTAAATATTACCTGCCCTCAACCCCCAACTCTAAAGCTATCCGCTATTTTGACTTTTATTATCACAGATTGATTTTGCCTGTATTTGAACTTCATGTAAACATGTACTGTATTGTTTCTGGCTTCTTTTCCTCAGCATAAAACCTGTAATATTCATCTATATTGTTGCATATATGGATGGATCACTATTTTTGTATTGCCGTGTAGTATTCCATCACCTGAATATAGAATTATTTAGTCTGTTAATGAACATATAGTTTCAAGTTTTTGCCTATTATTAATAAAGCTGTTATAAACATTTTTGAACATGTATTCTGATTGAAATTTGCAAAGCTTTCTTTTGGATATGTACTTAGATGTGAATTTGTTGGTAATAGAGTAGGCATATGTTTAGCTTTTATAAACACTGTCAAGCTATTTTCAAAAACATTTTAATCAATTTGCACTGCTATCAACAATGCCCGAGGGTTCCAGTTTCTCTACAACCTCATTAACACCCAGTATTTTTATTTTACCTATTCTGATGTGTGTAGCAGAATGCATTTTTGTTTTAATTCTCATTTTCCTCATGAATAATGTTGTTGAGCACCTTTTAATATGTTTATTGGCTGTTTGGATATCTTCTCCTGTGAAGTCATTATTCAAGTCTTTTGCCTGTTCAAAATACAAGACTGTTAGTTGTTTTCCTAGTGATTTGAAGGAATTTAAAAAATTCTATATATAAGCCCATATATGTGCATGTATATGTGCATGCATATATAATATCTATCTCTATCTCTATTTCTGTACATCTTCTCCCTGATTATGCCTTGCTTATTCTTAATTGTATCTTTTGATAACAGATGCTCTTAATTGTAACGAAGTTTGACTTATCAACTTTGCCTTTTGCGGTTAGCGTTGTGTCCTGTTTAAGAGATGTTTTTTATTTTTCCTGAGGCCAGAAGAAGAGCAGTGTGAAGAGAGGAGTGAGACAGAAGATGTAACAAATCCGTGGCAGCTTTGGCTCTGTCAACATTTTGGGTCTCCTTATCTTTTAGCTCCACCCATGCTTATACTACCTCTACCTCTATTTGGTTGATGCTTTGTAGGGGCAGAGCACTTGAGACCTGAAGGTGCCAGGATTACAAGTATTTTCAATTCAATAAACACATTATTTGTTTATTTATCTACTTTTTATGTTTTAGAAAGAGTTTTAAGGAGAGATGATCAGCACACTAACTACAAATGTTTAAAGCATTAATTTTGATAAATTTTGACATATCTGTACACTCATGAAACCATCACCATGATCTTGTCCCTTTGAGAACCTTCCCTCCTACCTTCTGCCACCCCTCCCTCCCTTCTAGGCAACCATTGATCTGCTTTCTGACATTTTTTTTGTTTTCACTCTTAAGATTTTTGTACAAATGGAATCATACAGTATGTACTCATTTTTGTCTGGTTTCTATCACTTAGTATAAGTATTTTGAGATTCTTCCATGCTGAGATGCTTCCATGTTGTTCTACTAATAATTAATTACTTTTTATTGCTGAGTAGTATTTCACTGAATGGATATACTACCATTTGTTTATTTATTCCCCTGTTGATGGACATTTGGGTTGTTTCCAGTTTTGGCTTTTATAAACAAAACTATTATGAACATTCATATACAAGTCTTAGTATGGACATATCCTTTCATTTATCTTGGGAACACATAGATGTGGAATAGTAAAGTTATATCACATACGTATCTTTAACTTTTAGAAAAACTGCCAAAGTTTTCCAAAGCGTTTGCACCATTTTACACTCCCACCAGTAGTGTTTGAGATTTTCCATTCCTCCACACCCTCACCAACACTTGTCCACTTCTTAATTGAAGACATTTTAATAGGCATGCAATGGTATCTCCTGGTAGTCTTAATTTGCATTTCCTTAATGACTAATGACGATGAGCATATTTTCATGTGGTCACTTGTCATCCATATATTTTCTTTGGTGAAATGTCTATCCAACTTATTTGCCCAATTTTAAAAGTAGGTTGTTTATTCCATATCATTGAGATCTCAAGTTTCTTTTTATATTCTGAATTCAAGTCCTTTACCAAACAGGAAATTTTCAAATAGTCCATGGCTTATCTTTTTATTCTATTAACAGAAGATTTTAATTTTAATGAAGTCCAATTTATCACTTTTTTCTTTTATGAATTGTAGCTTTGTTGCTATATCCAAGAAATTTTGCCTAAAAAAAGATCACAAAGATTTTCTTCTACATCTTTTTCTGGAAGTTTTATAGGTTTTTACATTGGGTCTATAGTTCACTTTGAGTTTAATTTTTGTATATAGAGTGAAGTATGGATCAAAGTTGTTTTTTTGGTATGTGTGTGTGTTTGCATATAGATGTCCAGGGATTGTTCCTTTACCTTTGTTAATAATTAATTGACTCTATTTGTATGCGTTTCTTTTGTTCTTTATAATATATTCCTTTCATCTGCTTGTCTATCTTGATGCCAGTACCACACACTTTTGCTTACTGTAGCTTTATAATAATTCTTGAAATCAGTTAGTATAAGTTCTCTACCTTCATTCACCTTTTTAAAAGTTGGTTTGGTTATTTTAGGTCCTTCGAGTTTCTCTATGAATTTTAAATTGGCTTGTAAATTCCTACAAAAGAATCTGCTGAGATCTTTTGATGGGATTATGTTGAATCTGTGGATCTTTTTGGGGTGAATGGATATTTATTTTCCCTTCAGTCATAAAAAGGAGTGCCTACTTTTCTACAGTCTCTACAGCATAGTAGATTCTCAGAATTTTCACTCTTTCCAAACTGATAGGTAAGAAACAGTTTTTAAATATTGTTACAGTTTGCATTTCTCTAATAATGAGAAACATTGGGGATATTTCCATGTATTTAATGGCTGTTCCTATTACTTCTTAAAGAGACTATCTCTTCATACCCTCTCCCCACTTTTCTCTTGGATTTTGATTTTCTCAATTTTTAGGAGGACTATATATTAGCCATATTAGTTTTTTTGTTGAGATACAAGTTGCATATACTTTTCTCCCAATTTGTGATTTGGTTTTTGACTTTCCTTATGATATTAAATTTTTAAAAGTAAAATTATTAATCTTTTATTGTTTCA